AGCTACGTCCATCTTTTATACAGTCTATGTGCTTTACTTTACAACGTTGATGTCAAGATGTCACAAAAAGCCAGTAAATAAATACAGTGGTCGTGATCATCAGTGATGTTACAGTAAGCAACAGGGGGGCAGGCGTTAGTCTGGTTACAACAGTAATGCACTAAATACTGTAAATTAAAGGAAGAACGTCTGAGATAGAGTCCTGAAATAATGCCTGGTGGAAAAAACAACAACGAGAGACTCCCTTCATGGTAAATTCTGTATAAACTCATATCCACTCTGCTGTTATGAGTTCTGCTTTTTCAAAAAAAAAAAAAAAAGAAGCTTTATTTCTTTTTAACAGATGAGAAGATCGATGCCACTCCCACGATTGTCCATGAAAGCCACAGTCAGTTTAATTCTAGTTTACAGATTCTAGTCGGTCATTAACCCGAATGAGTCCGATTCGCTGTGAGATCAACATTTTGACTGCAAATTAACACACACACACAAAAAAAACACGCCAGAAAACGAGTTCTCCTACTGAAATACTAAAACAAATATGGAAAACCAAGCTGAGCATTTATAGCAGTTTGAAGTTTTGTGACTATTTCATATCGTGACAATGAAATCAATTAAAACGTTCAATGACATTAAAAAAAAAACAACAACAAAAACTGCAGAGATTTGTACATGAATGTTGTTTCTTGGGCAGGAAAAGTCGAAAAAAAAGTCCTCCGTGTTCTGTTTGGTCGGCGGGTCACTGGCCATTCGCCACGTGTTTTAAAGTGAAAGGTTCACTGTCGGCGTTCCTGTCAGCTTCAGGCTTTTCACTCTGCGGAGACAAAACCGGAAACAGCCTCAGATTAGAGAACAGACTAACTTCTCATTCTCAGTAGTGGAAAAAATTCTTTGACACAACTGAGGAGCCATCGGTTACTCAGCTATGACCGGCGCTCACATGACAAAAAGTCTTTTCAGGTGATCTGGGCTGAACTGCAGGTAGTGTTTACACAAAGCAGGTAGGAGGCACGTATGCAAACACAGCGCTTTGTCCCCCAAGCATTGGAAACACCTGGTTGTAGAAATGTTGCACATGCTGATTGTAGGCTTTTATAGATTTCTGCAAAATAAATGATTAAAGAAATGTAACTTTCATTTTGGATTTTTTTTTTTTTAAATGATTTATGGCTCTATAACTTATTCATACTGCACAAAAGACATTTTAAGTTCTTTCTACTTCTGGCTGGGTTGTGCTGTTTCCATAGAGGTGCAGGAATTATGAAAAATGAACTCACGATGAGAAAAAATATGGCAGGTTTTGGACCACACAGTTGTGTAAAATGTTTTGGCCTGGGCCTAAAAAACTTCCATCCATCCATCATCTATACACCGCTTAATCCTCACTAGGGTCGTGGAGGGCTGAAGCCCACCCCAGCCGACCCAGGGTGAAGGCAGGTTCACCTGGACAGGTCGCCAGTCCATCGCAGGGCCACACCCAGACACAGACAACCAAGCACACTCACACTCACACCTACGGACAATTTAGAATCACCAATTAACCTCAACATGTTTCTGGACTGTGGGAGGAAGCCGGAGAACCCGGAGAGAACCCACGCTGCACGAGGAGAACATGGAGACTCCACGCAGAAAGATCCCGGTGTCCTCACCGGGATGCGAACCGGCAACCTTCTTGCTGCGAGGCGACAGTGGTACCAACTGCACCACCTTGCAAGCCCCCTAAATAACTTAATTCAAAATTTAAACAGCACCAGAAATAGAAACTAAAATGCACAGTGCAATGACCTTAAGATGTTCGGCTGTAAGGTGCACGAGTGTAACTGCTGTAAACTGTGGCAATAAATGAGAAGAACAACTGACAACATGGACGCTGTTTGTGCAACGTTTCTGCGGTTTACCTTGTTGGCGTTCTGTCTGGTTCCAGTCGTGGTCGTCGCGACGACAGCGTTTGGTTTGTGGCAGCAGAGCGCTTTCTGGAAGCTCTGCTTGAAGTTCTCAGAGAGGAAGCCGTAGAGGACGGGGTTGGCGCAGGAGTTGACGTAGGTGAGGATGACCAAGGTGAAGTAGAGCACAGCCATGTCTATGCTTTCGGGGATGGTGTAGATCAGGTTGACGATGTTGGCGGTAAAGAAGGGCAGCCAGCAGAGCACAAACACCAGCACGATGATCACCACCATGCGCGTCACCTTGCGCTCTGACTTGCGCCGCTTCGTCACTCCTGCGCGTACACCTGCCGACCTCACCTGAAAGTCACGCCGTTGATCGGAAAGGTTTAACGAAACTGTGAGAGCAGAAGGGAGAAAAAAAAAATGACCCTAAAAGGATCCGTCTCCTACCTTGATGATAATGAGCAGGTAGCAGAGGCAGATGACGACGAGAGGACCGAAGAAGCTCAGGATGGACGTGTAGAGGATGAAGACAGCGGACCACACATTTTTCGGCTCCGGCCAGCTCATGTTGCAGGTGTTGAACTTGTCCTGCACGTTTGAGAAGATGGTGACCGGCAGTACGACCAGAAAGGACACCACCCACACCAAGCCGCTGAAGAGCTTGGCCACCTGCGGCTTCCTCCACTTGGCGCTGCGTATGGGATAAACCACGGCGAGGAAGCGATCGATGCTCATCAGCGTCAGGCAAAACGTGGAGGCGAACTGGCTCATGGAGTCAATGGTCATGTACACCTTGCAGAAGAATTCCCCGTACGGCCAGTAGGAAAGCACGCTATTGGTCCCGACGAAGGGAATCCCCAGGATGTAGATTTCATCCGCCACGGCTAAGTTGAGGATGTACATGTTGGTCACTGTCTTCAACTTGGCGTAGCGGACCATCACGTAGATGGCCAGCGTGTTGCCCACAAAGCCCACGATGAAGACGATGGTGTAGATGATGGCGGTGGCGTTGTTGAAGGGCATCGGCGTGGGGACGTCTGAGGCGTTGGCGACGTCTGAGGCGTTGGCGGAGGTGGAGTAGAGCTGGGGGGAGCTGTCGTTCTCAGACATCCAGCTGTCGTCCATGTTGAAGGAAGGAGCGCCGGTGTCCATCTGGATCGCAGGAACTCAACAGAGAAAAGATTTACAGTAATTATACAGAACAAACAATTAGAGCTTAACATCCTCTCCGTTCTGACATTGTGTGAATTTTCAGAGATGCTACGTTCGTTCGCACTCAGCAACACGTGCGAGATGCCCGTATTTACCAGGCGAGAAACTTTCCACTGCGCTGGCTGGGCGCGTGGCCAACGTTCGTCCTAATGGGGAGCTGCACTTTAGCTGAGCAGGTTTCTAAACCGTCACTGCCATTCGATTGAATAATGGAGGGACGGAGAGGATGAAAAGTGGCGAGAAGCCCAAGATCTGGAGCGAGACAGAGACGTTAACAGAGCTGGAGGTGGGCTTTGGGACGAACACGCTCCATCATTACCATTGGAGAGGAGGGAGCGAACACAAAGAACCAGTTTTTCTGATTGAAACCAGAGAACCACACAGTTTAGGATAGCAGCACATTTTAAACATGACTCCAGTCACTGCCTCCCTGCCTGAAAGTCCCTCCTGATCACATCCATTTGCATCATTTGGCCGTTAAACTTAACGCAATATGAGTATAATATAATATAATATAATAATATAATATAATAGTTTCTCTATTTTTTACTGTCCTGCACGTCTAACGGCACAGCAGAGGACAGAACTCCAACATGTCTTCTGTTCAGGATAATTAAATGATAATACATAAATCATTTGATTTAAAAGAAGGTGGATTTTATTGATTATTTGACTAAATTTTATGCTACGACTTTGGCAGCTCCAAGCAAAATCTGGTGTTGTGGAGTTTCCCAAACCTTGGTAACCTGCAGCTCATCTCTGCTTGAGGCCACGTTAGCTGCTGCTATAATAACACACCTGAATCTCTGATGCCTGAGATGCACTTTGGGAAACGTAGGAGACACGGCGGAATCATTCCTGAAAAGAAAAATATGTTATCTTCAGTTTTTACTGCCATTCGATTTGATGTGAATAATGGAAGGATGGAGGGGACGAAAAGTGGCAAGAAACCCAAGATCTGGAGCGAAACAGTGACGTTAACGCAGCTGGAGGTGGGCTTTGGGACGAACACGTTTAAGTGTTGGATTGTGTTTTCTTTCCACTGCTGCCAAAGGCTTTCTCAAAGGGAATCTAAGGGAATCATTGATTTATCTCTATCGTTTTACATTGAAAAAGTGAATTAAATGATATTTTACCATTTTAAAATGTCACTGGATGCACACTGAGCTAAAGCTTTGTACCAGAGCAGCCTCTGTTGAGAAGATAACGCTCCATCATTACCATTGGAGAGGAGGGAACGAACACAAAGAACCAGATTTTCTGATTGAAACCAGAGAACTACACAGTTTAGGATAGCAGCACATTTTAAACATGACTCCAGTCACTGCCTCCCTGCCTGAAGTGCCTCCTGATCACAGCTCCTCATGGCTGCATTTGCATCATTTGGCCGTTAAACTTGTGATCTTCACATTTGCTTTGTGTTTGATGCGCAGCTTAGATCTTCTTCTATATTTTAGGCATCTATTCTTTCTTTGAATACGGAGACATTTATAGTTTCTACTTCATTTTCTGTGCACTGCATTTACGATTTAGGTGTTCATAGTTGTCATTCTGTACTCGAATCTAGAAAGAAAACACGTTCCAGTCTATTTTGTTCAAACATCTCCGGTGGATCAAACTTCAAGGTTGCGCAGGGACCCAACAAAATGACATTGTAAGTCCTCACCCGGTGCCTTGTGGGTGACCTAAAATAACAATAATAATCTTGTGACTGTCGGTTGCAACCTGAGGCTGTGGAAATGTGTTGCACAAATACAGAGTGTGACGCGAAGATTCAGTGAACCGCGCTCCAAAACACGGGAGTGACGCGCAGCCCGCAGCACCGTGTTGAGAAAACAAATACTGGAAGCCCCCTTTTACCCCTTCAGGCCTCCAACAAACTAAAATAAAGTATAATACGAGTCACAAGAGCTACTTCAAGTGTTTGGGGATTGAAAATTAATTAAATAACTTTAATGCGCATTTTTCTAGCTCACATGCGGCATTCCAGGGAAATAACTGAGTAAAAATAAACCGTGATGACACATATTTCTTTTTTTTTTTTTCCTTTCAAATTCTGCAATTTCATTTCATAGACACAGTGTTTTCTTGTAAATTCCGTCACAGCTGTGGTTTAGGATGGAACCTACCCGTGCGCTTTTACGCGCCTCTTCCACTATCCGGCGAAGTGATGCGCGTCTGAGGACCTGGTGCGCCTTTGGAGACTTTCTCTGCTCTTTTCTCCCGTTTCTTGAAAGCGAAACCACCTCACACTCGACTTGTCAGCCCGAGGCATTTTCCTGATGTCAGCACGCTCAAATCTCCATAGTCACAGGTTTTTACAAAAAAAAAAAAAGATTTTGTTAGAGTTCAGATATGAAAAAAATAAAGTCCAGCGCTCGGAGAAATGCCGTCCTGAGCTGATGAGAAGTCACTCACTGGGCCACGCGGTGCCGTTGACGCAGTATTTATGTGTGGAAAAACGTCACCCTACCTTTGGATGTGAAAGTCCCACCCCCAGCCCAGAGCAGTCGTTGGTGTCAAATCGTACATTTAGAGGCTTTTATAGCCGCTCCACCATGAAGTCATACTTTATTTCCAACTGTGTGTGAGACGCAGCAACAGAGAGAAGAGATGGAGCCATGCCCAGATCCAGCCCGGGGCATAAATTACCTTGACGGTGGCCTTGGGCACCTGAGACAGGCGGAGAAATGAAGGTGAAATGGAAAAACGGTGCAGGCAGGATGAGATGGCACACTGAGGGAGAGCTTTGATGGTGATTGTCTGGGAAAGCTGCCTGCTTTACAGCCATTAGCTTCATGTTGTTGTCATCATGCAGGTCAGTGGAGCATCAACAACAGGCTGCAGATGCAAAAACACAAACAACACAAATGCCCCAATCATGTCTGCGCCAAGTCATCATGTCACGTCTGTATGTTCTATCAGTCCAAAGCATCTCGGAGGGTTCAGCGGGAAGCTGATGACGTCTTCTAGTTGTGTTAAACCGGTTCTAACCAGGCCAAATGGGCGGCTTCATGGGAATGGAGAGTAAACAGGGCTACACATCTGGGCCTGCCCTGGAGGGACGGTTGATGTGTGGTGGCACTCAGGAAGCCAGGATCACGATACGGCTCATTTACTTTGGATTTTCACCGGCGTGGGCGGATTAGCATCCCAAACTGTAACAACAAACATTTTCTTTGGGAGCCGAAGAGCTCTACAGATGCAGGAAATGTACCAGAAAATCTAAAAAAGATTAACAGAATAAAGCTTCCCAATGAGCTGCCAGTTTATTCACAAATCAGCGTCTGCTGGCAGGTCTTGGGTGGCACATGTGAACATTTATCCAAGCATTTGTCAGGTGTATTTCTCAGAAACGGCGCAGGAGAGGACAGAACTCCAACATATCTTCTGTTCAGGATAGTTAAATGATAATAATAAATCATTTGATTAAAGAAAAGGTGGATTTTATTGATTATTTGACTAAATTTTATATTAAGACTTCAGTAGCTCTGAGCAAAATCTGGTGTTGTGGAGTTTCCCAAACTTTGGTAACCTGCAGCTCATCTCTGCTTGAGGCCGCGTTAGCTGCTGCTATAATAACACACCTGAATCTCTGATGGCTGAGATGCATTGTGGGTAACGTAGGAGGCACGGCGGAATCATTCCTGAAAAGAAAAACATGTTGTCTCCAGTTTTGCTGCATCAATTTATTATTGGGTTAAAATGTGTTGTTTCTTTCTTTAAGTTCTACAAATGATGCAGTCCAATAAAATCTGTCTTTGGCATAAATATAAAGGTTTTTTATGACACAACATTTCACGGTCAAACTGTATCAGATGCAGCTGATATATAGGTTTTCTTTTTACGTTTCCTTTATCCTCCACTTGTCCTGAGGCAGCCTTTCTCCTGTATTGTGTCACTGGATGTAATTGAGGATGTTGCAGAGACATTAATGAACAACTGCTGGCTTCCCACAGCCGGCTGAGCGTCCGACTCTTCTCATTGGGCTTCAGTAAACACCTGCAGCTTCACACATTCAAAGATAAATGAAGATTAATTCATGCACAGCAGCAGCAGCTTCGTTAAAAAGGGTGAATGTCAATCAGCGTTCCAGGTTTATACGTTGGAATTATCTAAGCCGAAGCCTCTCCGGATGAATCCTGGAGGCATTTTCATCCAAATAAGCCCTCATTACACTGGCAATCACATTCCGCTGTTTTAATTGTGTTACGGGACTGGAGCTGCGGAGGTGGACTTTTTTAGCAGCTCAAATAAATCCGCATCCCCCGAATGTCTCATTACAGGTTGTGCTCCTGCTTGTGTTGTGTTACATTAGTGTGTTCTTATTAGGTTTGTCGCGGTGATGTAATTTCCTCGCACTGATAAGTTTCATAAGAGCTTAAGCCAATCAGCTGTGCTCACCGCGCGGGCAAACGAGTCGCCGGTGTCAGGAAACACCTCGTATCGGCGTGACTCAGATCATAACACCCGTTTATCAGCTGCATAAACACATGATTTGTCCCCATTCACAGCCACAGTTGTGTTTACATTAATATTAAGCTGTTAGAAAGGAGGGTCACTGAGCTCTTATCCAGATCAAATCAGATCTTTAGAAATAAATTGCTGTCTTATCAAACTGCGGTTTCATTCTGCTGCTCTGAGACTTGCTCATAAAACCCTGATTATAAACACACATCCTGTAGTTGTTGGCTGTGAACACCCGCTGCTCTGTGTCAACCAAACTGTGAGCTGTTGTTTTCTTTATTGGTAAATTAATCTTTATATGTATTCGACACTGACGAGATTTTTTTCAGGCCTTCACCTGCCACTTCTGAACTATTTTATTTCTTCTCAAACTGTTCCAAACCCCTTCTTGCCGTCCGTCGTTCTGTTGCTCAGATGAATCGCTGTGGCTTCAGTCAGCTTGCATGAA